ACTCAAAAAATGTAAATTAATTTTCTTTCATCTAATACCCAAAATCGATACTACCATAGACGAGAATATTACATATAAATTTTGGTCCCGATTGGAGTCGGTTAAGACGTCTTCATAGGGTAATCCGAATTTTGAACCCTGCGCGACACGCCTTAACCGTCTCCAATAGGGACAAAAATTTATGTGTGATATCTGCAGTTATAGTAGCATCGACGTAGGGGTTGAGGCTCAGGAAATCTAATGTAAAAATTTGGAATGTAGGAACATTTAATGACCACCCTAATGTGCATATGTAAGTAAGTACTTATGTATGAATGGTGGGAGATGGGTGAACAATCATGCAATTCAATGCTCTTAATTTAAATAGGCCGTATTCTTGACGGTTTCTTCCGTTCATTTCTGCGTGACTGCTGTCCCCATTTTTTATGGAGCCCGACAATGACTTCACAAAGAGACGATCTGCTCTTGTAGCTGCTGGTGCTGTTTATGATGGGTTACTTTATGAACATGAACTGAATGAGTCTGCGGCACGCATTAAAATATGTACATATGTATAAGTATATCGTCGTTATTACTGAGAAAGACGCTAATGGTGATTTCGTTTCTATCAAAAAATATCGCCTTTAGATTGCTCCTTTCTCTCTTCGTGTTCGATTATAAAATAAAGGCAAAGCTTCGCCAATATTATGAAGTACGTGAGCTGGACAAGGACAAGAGGCGAAAACATGCTCTTTTACAGGGTTGAGTGTAACATCAAACAAATTTTTCAACGGGTAAGGACAACATTTTTGGAAGAAACGAAATCACCATAATTGACATTTGCATTGATTAGATATAATTAATATTCCGTTCGTTCTTAGATAAATATGTACATACTTACCGTTTATTGTAATGTTTTTGTGTTCGCTTTTAATCTCTTTTAAAACTATCCGATCTACGAATAAATTGGAGTAGGATCCTTATAAAAGCGGGTAGAAACACAAGAAAAGCTCCGTCGTTTCATATTCTTCAAGGCAGGAAGGGCCAATGGGGTTTGCACGTATGCACATCAGAGTCAGCTGTTTTGCGCCACTTGAAGTGATCAGTCAACAGTCCCGCAAGTTGTGTGCAGTCCAATCTGATCAATGAACGCAAATCCCTAGAAAGATCCTCTGAGATTGAGGGCAACATTAGTTTTGCCTACCTGAAGCACCTCGAACTCTCCTAGTTAGTGCTAAACAAAATATCCATCCAGTTTATGACGGAGACTTCGATGTCCGAAGGTGGGAGTGCTGCAACTGATTGCGGACCAAAGAATGCCAAGTGGTCAGATGTATCATCAACAGGTATATATTTTCGTCGAGACTTACATTGTCGAACTAGTTTGGAAGTAGGTAGAGTACCTTGAGTGCAGCTTGGCTGGTCCACCCACTTTCAACAGCGTAGTTCATGGTTTTGAGGATTGCAATAGCTCAGCTTGAAATATCGAGGCATCTTCCCTAAGAGAGAAGTGTAGTAGTTTGTTGCCACTTGCAAAATTTCGAATTTTTCATTTACGACCTTTTATGCTGAAGACGTCGCGTACGATATATTCAATGTATATGTATGTACGTATGTATATTTGTTTGGGTGCACCGCCGCCTGATGATTATTGAGCAATAAATCGCAATGAAAATCCACCAGACGAATATTCGCTTAAATTGCGCACTTAAATGCCAACAAAGCGATGGGGTACACACATATGTATGTATGTATGTATGTGTTTACTTGTGTGTGTGTGTGTGCTGCAGCTGGAGAAGAAGGTTCGGCTCCCCTCCTGCCCCGCGAGCAAACAATGCCTTGAATTACTCAGCGTTTTGAGGGATGCACAAAAATGTAGGCCGGGGGATTGTGTGCGCCCGGGAATTCACTACAAAACAATTAAAAACTGCGTGCAACCAACAAGAATATGGGAAAAAGTTTTGACGTTGTTGTGATTGCTGTTGATTTTGTTGTTAATTTTCATGTTTGCTGGTATTATTGTCGCTGCCGTTAATGCGACACTATGTTGCAACAACGAGGCCATCGGCGAGTTCAACGCGCGAATTACCCGCACATGAGCGGAAAATGCTCGCAACCGGGGATGTGCAATCAAATGTGGCATTTAATTTCAACACACTGCTTTGTTCTGAACATTGCTTTCAAGGCTTCTATGCAGGAAGCTAAATGGGGCACAAAGCGAGCGAACAATGCAATGCGGATGAAAATATTGGAGAACAAGAAAGAACTTTGACTTGATTTGGTTGGGCCTCGCAGCATTCGCAACGCTAGCCAGCGGCCGGTTTAATTGAGCATCAGCGAAAAGAGCACTCACAGATGAAAATCCGCAAGACAAACTTTTGCCGCAACGCTGACACCGAAGAGAAAGTTCGGAAATGTGGGAAAATAATTGCATTAAACACGGAAAATAAGGCGGAAACAGTTGCGCTTGACAAGAAAACCAGATTAAACTTTTTCTGCGTTTTCACCCGCCCACATACTGCCTCCGGTAATCGAATTGAATGGCGGCGTGTAAATCAATGAAGAGGAAATCGAGAATATGAAGTAAGGTGGGCAAATATTCAGTTATTTCAGCAACCAAAGCATCTATTTAGAATCTTAAGTATGTAGCTGGTAGGCTCATTTGTAAGAGTTCGATTTTCAATAGAAATTTCTTCGGCTTGAAAATTAGTTAGTGGTTTTCACTCTCGGTTTTACTGTTTGCAAAGAAATCGTTTTCGAGAAGACGTCGCACAATTCTAGAACACCATTGCATTGCATTGAGTTATGTTCAGTTCAATTTTTAATGTAAGCATATAAGTATGTATGTACCGGCCCTATTACGGTTGTCGACGTCGAAGTCGATGTAATTTTTTGGTAAAAAAATAGTCCTCGCAAGTCCAACGCTAGCTACACTGACCACCGTATTTTTGCGGAAAGGTGTTCCTCGCAAAACTACTGTGGTCAGCGAAACGGAGTTGGTCTGATGAGGACTATTTATTGACGAAAAAATGACATGGATCTGTTGCTATGAGGCGTATGATCTGTCGGTCTTTTGCTACCCTGCTATCACATCAAAGGATCGGGTCCTAAGTCAGTGCCGTAGCCTGAGCTTCCTTTGCCGCTCGTTTGCAACGATGTCAAAATCCCGAATTATTGACTTAGACCCAGACAACGAAAACAAACAATGGCAAACGTATCGGTATCGTTTAGTTTCGCTCATAGAAGGTAACGAAACACAACCGATTCAAATCACTCGGAAACATTTAGCGAGCGGTAACTTTACTCTGCTAGCGTTCGCGATAGCTAACGCAAACAAAACAATTGAATGCAGATAAATAGGGAAACAAACGAAACATAAAGCCAGTGCTCACAACACAAAACGAAACGATTCGTTTAGTGATCCCCTAGTATGAATACATACATATGTTTTTATGTACATACTAGAAATGGGCACGGGACTAAATTTTCGGGCCCGGCCCGGCACGAGTGCAAAAGAAACTTTCAAAAAGAAATAAGAATTTTAGTGGGGCCCGGTACGACGGCACACGCCCCAGCCCGGAAATAAAGAGCCAACTTGCATTGTATGTATACATATGTACATATTTTTAATTTTATGCGAATAAATTTTTTACATCAAATATAAATAATTTTATAATTTTTTTTTTATATTATAAATTTTTTACATCAAAGATTTGTATAATATATTTTCTGGTAAGTAGAAAAAGTGGAAGGTATTTTTATTTATAGATATGTAAACAAAACTACTAAGTAGCTTATTTTTTCTATCGGTTTCCAAATATTTATTTTTTTGCTTTTATCTTTGACTGTACATACTAATATAGCTTAGGAATAACTCATTAAAGACTGTATAAATTTTTGCAATAGTTAATAAAAAATTCAGTGAACGTAATAAATGATAAAATCAATAAAATGTATGTAATTAATGCGCAAAGACAGAATGAGAAATAAATAATGCAAAAATGATTATGTCAGCGATCCATAAATAAGTTTTCATTAAAGCGCTTTATTATATATACATATGTACACATGTATGTTCATTCATATCGCACACCGTCTTCAAAAGAGCCACAACTCAAAATTTGGCATTTTTGAAATTATGCAGCAAGAGCTGGAGCAAATTTTTGTTATAATTTGTTTAAAAAACCTAAGGTAAAATCGCCCTTGCGCATATGATTTGCATGTGCTACGATATAGTTTTTCGCATTTTCTGACGAACGCATTATTTTGAGTTGTGACTCTTTTGAAGACGTTGTGCGATATGTATTACACGCCTGCTTCTGAACGTGCCTTGCGTGCTAAAACATAGGAAGAGGCGTCAGTGATCATCGCAACTACGACCAAAAATCTTTCGTCAGTATTTCAAAGTTTTTGGAAATGTACGTAAAAAAGCAACTACATATTTATTTGAAAACATTTTTGTTTAAACTACGTACTGAAGCGTGGGATTTCCAAACATCTCCAACAAGGAATCTATTCTTATTAATTTTGCTTATCAACATTTTAGATTCATTTTAACGGGGCAATCAAATAGAAACTCTCGTAGTGCCTGTTTCATTGCGGTTTTATTTACATACAAATTTAAACCTTTGCTACATTCTATTTACCTGTTGTGAAATTTGAAGCGAGCGCATTCAATGGGAGCTTTCCGAAGTCATAACTTTGTAGATATATGTATATAGATATGTGTAGAGATAAGAATGTACATACATACATATATATGTACGCACATATTTGTATGCATAAATTGTGAAATATTTGTTTACAAACACAAAATATTCATTTTAAAGAGAGACATACCACTGCAAAATCTTTTCCAAGTTGTTTTTTTTTTGCTTTTGCAATTTTAAATAAATTATCTAAGCATTTCATCACTCAATGCTATACGAGTACAAAGCTCTCAGCGTAATCAATTGCATATGAGTCGAAAAAAGTATCTAATTCAAATGCAATATTTTGTTATAAATAGATGTGGGGGACAAACAGCGTCAAAACGCAGTTAAACTCTCAGTTGAGGGCGGTACATTGTACGAGTAGGTGGATTATATAAACGACGGTGAATACTAAGCGAATTACATACATACATACATATATTAGTGATAGTGCCTAAAGCGATCGCAATGCCTTCAAGTGATAAACGCAGCGAGAAATCGAAATCAAGCGCAGTGGCTGCAAATGGAGCAGCGCCGCCACGCATCGAAATTCCCAAATGGTTGACGGCGGAACTATTTGAGCAACTGCTAAGAGAATCAGTTGCAAACTACCAAAAGATCACACAGTTCGAAGCAAAGCCCGCCTTGGCTGCAGGTGAAAACTATGCTACCATAATGTTACGTGTCAACATAGAAGCTGAACTAAAAGGTCTGTAAAAAAAAAAATGAAAAAAAATGTATGAATGAAAATAATGATAGAATACAATATTGCCCCAGCCCTGAGGGCGATGACATTTCTCAAGTAAAAGTAAACAAGGCCGAAGAGGAAAGTAACTGTTAAAACAGTAATATTTTAAAAAATAAAATTTTTCGATAGGAAACGTGGTTTAATTATGTTAAGTTGTAAAAATATATAAAAAGAGATTATAAATGAAATCATAAATAACTTAATAGTAAAACCAAATATTTGTAAAGTAAGCTTTATAAATATGAACCAAATCGGACTAAATACGGGGGGAAATACGGGGTTTTAAAATATCTCGACTCCTGCGCCACCTATCGGATTTACTCATCTTTTGTACTTGGGTCATCATCGAGCCCTGAGCCAACTGTGAAGTTTCAAGTCTCTAGGTCATCGGGGTCATCGGAAAGTTGGTCAAAAAATGATTGCAAGATTTACCCCTAACAAACATACATACTTACATATGTACATACAGAGCAAGTCAAATAAAAGCTTGTAAAAACGGCAACTTTTGTGAAAGTATTAGTGGAAGACTAGTGCGGCCGCTTTGGTGTAGTGGGCGCTACCACTCCGCGGACCTTGGGTTAAACCTCTGCTCAAAGCAACATAGCAAAAAAAGATAAAAGAAAGTTTTTTTTTATTAACGGCGATCGTCCCTCGGCTGGCAATGGCAAATCTCCGAGTGTATTTCTGCCATGAAAAAAACAGCTTCTCATAAAAATACAATCGCCATTCGGAGTCGGCGAAAAATTCCGCTGTGTGTGACAACATCAAGTCGCACGCCACAAATCGGAGGAGAAGCTCGGCCGAACACAAACATGTGTGTAAGCGCCAATGTAGAGAGATTAGTAAATTTTAATGCATTTAAAATTTCTGAGGTGTTGTTTACTTTTACATCGACAAAAGCAAAGTAGCGATACATTTGTTCTCGTGAATGGAAGTGGCCACAGTGCATTGCGTATCTTATCTACATAAATCATAGAAATAGATGTATAGTGTCATACATAGAAAATTTAATCAGACTATAAACGAGAGTATTCCAGGCCGCTGCTATTCTTCGACGTATTGTAAAAAAAATGTAAATCGAATATCAATTTATATGTATGTAGATCCTGCTCTTTTTATACCTTTCATGAGCATGAAATAGTATTATAACTTTGGTCCGATGTTTGTAAGTACCAGAACAAAAAGAGATAGACCCATTAAAATGTATACTTATATGATCAGAACGTCGAGCTGAGTTGATTTAGCCATGTCCGTCTGTCCGTCTGTCCGTCTGTC